AAGGCACTTAACAACAACAACAACAAGTTCATCCAGAACCAGTTCATCATTCAACAAAGACAGGCCTAGGACCTTCTGCGTGGGCACAGGACTAGGCACTGAGAGAACAGCATGACTCTGATGAGCTCTACCATACTAGGTGACCAGCCTGAGGAAAATTATTTAATTAATCTCTCTGGGCTTTAGTTTCTTTATCTGTAAAATGAAAAAGTTAAACTAGCTCTCCAAGGCCCTCACGCTGTAAATAGCCAAAGAATCGCTAATGCTTACAAATGAATATCTATTTGACAGCATCATTCTGGTTTTCTATTTATCATTTTACCAAAGGTATAGTTTCATCTCTTATTTTTAATATGCTGAAAAAGAAAAATATAAGAGTAGCTTGACCGAGCTTTTAATTACCTCCCAGCTCATCATCAGCTATATATGGACTTCTGCTCTAATTGCATCCTGTGCGATATTATCCACATTGAAATAACTCATTGCAGCTTAATTTTTTTGGTAGAAAACTAAGTGACAACTCCCAAATTATTTTATATTTCAATTTAAAAAAAAAAGAACTAAGACCATAATAAAAATTGTACAGAGAGAAAATGTTTATCTCCCAAACTAAAAGTTAGAACCTGGTAAGATATAATCCTAAATTCAGTTCATTAACAAATGTCTACCTTTTTCTAAAGACAAATAAAATGTTTATGTGAATGATCAAGGTAATTCAGAGTCACATAAGACCAATATGTTCCTGACTTCATCATCATCATCCCCAAGGTTTCTTCTCAATCGTTTTAGTGAATTTAGTGTGATCTGTATATGTGTGCTAATCTGTGTATAGAAATCATTTTAATATTGGAAGTGAATCAACTTTCTTACAAGCTGAAGCTTCAATTAAATGTCCTTTTTTTTTTAAATTGGTAATCACACATTTTGCTCAGCCCTGACTAAGCATTTTGATTCTTGCCATGCCTTATTTATAGATGTTTATAAACTGGCCATGGTGCCTGCTATCACACCTGAAAGATCATATATCAGCTATAGATGAAGAATGAAAGATAACTGATATCTTCAAAGTTAATTTCCCTAAAAGTTAAATTCAAATTGAACCCAAATTCAAATATCTGGCTACCTCTGGAACTGACTCCCTCTCCCTTACTAGATATAAATCCCCTGAGGGAAAGCACTGTCTCTTATTTATTACTTTATGCAGCCAATGTTTGCTGAATTGAAATTCACTTAATGGGACTGTCAGCACTGGGAATACCATGTTATAATCCTATGTTTGAAAGAACTATTATAAACTTATGGTTACACAAAATGAACATAAAAGCATTCAAATTATATTCTCAGATACAAATAAATATTCTTGTTGTTTTGATCTAATTTCTTTAAAACTAAAAATATAGTATTATTTACATCTGCATGATACCTAATAATTCAGTATCATAAAGATATTGCCCATGACACTAATTTTAACTCAATAAAAGTTAAGGTTACTCTATAAGACTCATTACAGAAACTTTTGGTAACCGAACTATGAGCCAAACTAAGTACAGGTGAAATGTATGGGAGTATTACTTTTAAACTAAGCTATTTAGAGCATTATTTTAAACTTGCCTTTTACATTTTCTGCTTGGGAAAACTGGTTTTTGTTTTTGGTTTTGTTTTAATAAAAAGAGGAGCTTTTAACCATTGCCTGTATACACCAATTCTTTGTCATTTAATCTGACTTCTGTGCTAAGATGTAGAGAAGAAAGTAATTTTTAAATAAATCCATTGGTTAAACTAATACAACTGTAGTTTGAATTCACAGAAGTCTTTTCTAAAATCATTTCCTAATTAAAATTCATTTGAATCTGAAAAGCATGAACCTAGGATAGAGTGAATCTATTTACTAACTCAGTGGGAAAGAAAATATCAAGAGGATATATGGGCTAAAAATCACGGTGCTAAAGAAAACAAAAAATCAGATCAAAATGAGGAAATTCACCTGTTACAAGCCTCACAAAATCCCTTAAATTTATCGGCAGTTTACCAAAATGGGGAATGTTATATTCCCATTATTTGGCAAAATAAGAAAAACTAGCTCCTAAAATTTGCTGCTTGGGCCTTTTCCAAATTCTCTTTTACTTTGAAACTTTTTTTTATAGATTTTTCTGTGGAGGAAACTTCATAACAAACTGGAAAACATAAAATGTCTTCTACTTGTTATCACCTAGAAAGGCAAAGCCAGTTCTACTCTCGGTGCCCCAAGCATCTAGCTTTCAGCCTCTTTATTATCATTGTCAATGAATGGGCCCCAGTCAAATGAAAGCTGCCATTTTAGGGTAAAGACTGGAGGGCTTCTGTTGTGCAACAGCAAGACAAAAACACTGCGACAGATGTACTCTGGGGGTTGGGAAACGGGCTTCAACTTCATAAAACCGTTGCTCAAGTTATTTCTGAAATAGGAATTACATAGTGCTTACACATTACTGTAATCCAAATAAATTATAACTGGATACTCATGTTGCTATACAGTTTTGGATCATTAAATCTATGGGGTATAAAGGGAAATATTTTTGTTCTATTTAATTATTACATACAATAGATACCCTCCCCTTACCGAAGAGAAACGGGGGTTAATACACTCCACCTCTTTAAAGGGTTATCGCCCATTGCAAAGACGGCTTAAATTCATATCTTCAGAAAATAAAAATCAGGGTCTTCACATACCCCTTTTAAAATAAAATTTTAAACATCTGACGTATTCCAGAAATCAAGCCCTGAAGATGAACACATTTTAGGATAAGTTATTTAAATCAAGTGGCTAGATAAGATACAATGGGAAACTAAAAAGTATACTTAGCAAGTGGAGAGCTGGATAGTGTATCTAATTCTAGCAATTCAAAAGGAAACTCTCCATGTGGGTTGCTACTTTTCTTTTGTCCATTGTCTGTTCGGGGGGGGGGAAACTAGTTTAAAACCGAGGCGTGAACGGTCTCTAAAAGTGACCTCCCGGGAAAACCGTAGGACCCATCAGAAGAGCACTCCCCGCGCCGTCCGCTCCACCCCGGCGCTCATAAAGCGGGCGGCCGGTGAGAGTTTGGGGTGCGCTCCCACGGTGAAGGGCTCCTCGAGGCAGAGCCATCCGGAGAAAGGCGGCTCAGTAATGATGGCTGCTTGGAGCCAGCGGCTCCTTCCCCGGAGCTTCCCGGCCCCCGCCGGATCCGCGCCCCCCGCCCACGGCAGCGGCCGCCCTGTGTCGCTACGGATGCCCCGCACCATAGCCACCGGGCGCCCCGCCCGCGCCCCGTGAGCCCAGTCCCTGGTGCGAATCAAACAAACAACGCGGCCCCCGCCGCCCTTCTTCCTCTCCCCGCTGACCGCTTGGCCTCCAGCCACTTCGGCCGTTCACGCTTTGAGCCGCGGCTCTCCGCAGGGGCCAAGCACACCCAGGCCACCTCGGGGGCCACCTGGCGACCCCCTTCCCCGCGGCGATGACCCGGGTGGGCGGGGGTAGGGGAATCGCTTTGCTCCGGGGGTGAAAGTCTCTATTATGTAGCCGCCGCCGCCGGTCCGGCCAGCTCGGTAAGGTGGGGTCCCCTCCGCGCCGCGCCTCCCCGTTCCCTTTCTTCTCCTCCGCGCGCACTTGGAGCCGCCGGGAGCCCCCCGCCTGGGCTCACAACTCCGCCACCACTGCAGCCGCGGATCAGACTAGGACGCCCCCCCGTGACGCGTGTTCGAGTCGCCCCCGCCCCACGCGGCGCCCCGCGCACTTTCCCGGCTGCCAACCCACCTCGCCTTGTCCGTCCCCCCGCGGCCAGCGTCGCCGCGCTAGGAGGGAAACACTTTGTTCGCGCCGGTGCGGCTGCGGCTGCTGGCGAACGCGGCGTGGTCGGTCCGGGGCGGGGGCGGGGGTCGCCGCCGCTCCCGAGTCGCCACCGCCGCTCAGCCGGCCCGCGCCCGCGCGCCCATCGCCCACTCGCGCTGGAGTTGGAGCCCAACTTTTCCTCCTTCCCTTTTCTCTCCAAGGGAGCCGGCAACTCGTGCTCGGCGGCGGCAGGAGGACACGCGCTCGCGCTCCTCCGCGCGCAGACACGCTCCCTCTGGTACCCCGTGCCCCCCCCCCACGCCAGCAGCACAACAAAAAGCCATTTAAATGCGAGGAAGTGACCCTCAGCCGGGCCGCGCGCCCCCGCCGCCGCCTCCCTTGAACGTAAGCAAAAGTTGGGCGCCGAGCAGTGCTCGGGCGCGGGTTCGGGGCCCGCGGGCGGCGACACGGAGCGAGCGGCGCTGCGCTCCTGCTGCCCCTGTCGCCCCGGCCCTCACCCCGCACACGCCCAACTCCTAGCTCCCAACTCCGCGCCGGCCCCGGCCCGGAGTGGTTTCCTGCCGCCTCCCCTCTCGGGCGCACGGCGAACTCTCGCGCTCACCGGGTCGTTGGGGTTCCACAGCTGCGGGCGCCGAGGGGAAAACAAAACGCAGAGAGGGCTCCGGAGTTGGCTCAGCGGCCGCGGCCGGGGCTGAATGCTCGGGCGCGGAGTTGGCCGGGGCGGACAGGGCTCTGGCTAGTTTCAGGGTCTCCGGACCCCGGGTCCCCTCCTCCGCGGCGCTCCTTTGTGTAATTTCACTCGATCCAAGTTTAATCCGATAGTTCCCGAGCACGAGCGCGTCCGC